ATTAGCTTTAGCGACTCGGCCACGCCGGTCCCATTATTTTTAGGTGCTTTTTTAAATGAAGTCTTTTTTTTGTCTTTATAACTTAGGTAACGGCTTTATAACTTAGGTAACGGAAAAGTCGTACACCTGAAGGGTAGTTCTAATAGCGAGGAACCGGAATACCCAATCAATGTACTTTATGCTGTTCCACCATTTCATAATACACTCTGCTTAATTCGTTTGAAGTGAGTATGTTTAATTAACACATACTATCCGATAGAATGAAAATACCAGTGCACCCACAAGAAAAATAGCATTGTGTACCCGGAAAAGAAAAAAATCCCGATGGGCCCCCAGGAAAAAAAATGTCAGAGGTCGCTGATGAACGGCGCCGTAATAAGCCTATTTAATTGTGCTTTGATTTAAAAAAAAATCTTTTGTTGGTATTCCTTCACTTTAAAATTTACTATCATAAAATGTAATTTTTCTCAAGCAAAGTCGCATGAATTGAATCACGCTGGATTTTTACAAAATAATCAAATTATATGATCTATACCCAGCAGTACCGCTTTTAAAAATGTAAACATTAGTTATGCTGCATTGCCTGCTTTAACTGGTGATGCCATCTAAAGATTTTAACAATTTTTAAAAGTAAAAACGTAATTTTAATTTAATTTAGTAATCCAGAAGAGCCTGCTATTTGTTCGGGCTTTGAAGGGGATAAATGCACTATGAGAAATTCAATCTGGGGTTGGGGCACTTTTAATAATTTTCCGGGCCTCTTGGACAAAGCCAGTAGACGCCTAAATCATTGTTCACTTCAGGGTAGTTAAATAGATTTTTTTCTTGTTTTGTTTTTGTGTGTAATGTCTCATTGTTAATTAAACAAGACAAATTACTTTTTTATTGTATAGGTACCGTAAAAAGTTGGAACGAGAGACATTACCTTCCCAAGGTTTTTATGACCATACCAAGTATTACAGGCCTGAAGTAATTATGGAGATGCCATCAACTGGTAAGCAAACAAATAAACTCGAAAATAGTTCAAATATTGCATTTAAAAAATCAAGACTAAATCAATTAATATATTACAGGCATGCCAGGTGGATATCGCCCGGATAGCAGGAACTGAACTGTTTCGCGGATGCAGCTTTTACAGTACATTATGTTGTCAAGCCGGCCGATAGTAATCAATCGCCATAATTAATATTTCTGCTTAATTTCAAGTTTTTTTTAAAAATAATTACAATTGTATCAGTGAATAGTTTGCATGTGCTGAAAAAAGCATTTTGTTTGCCATTCTTTGCAACAATTCCTGTAACATATATTATCTATTCAAAATCATTATTTCATCACTTAAATAGTTTTTAATGCAATAAAGGTAATTTTCATTGTATATCTGCATTATCCTGTTGAATAATTTCTTACAATGAAGATTGAACTACATTTTATGCAAAAAATGACACGTATTTTAAAATTGAATTTAAATTTGTATAACTTAAATACATGCATTCATGAATTGCAATATTTAAAAGGCCATTTTGTCACGGTTGCTATGTATTTCGCGGACAGCAAGGAACAAGGAAAAAATGATGTGAATACTAATATTTACGAAGCTAGGGTCAGGACTTTTAAGTTATATCTCGAATTTTAACGTTGTGTCGTAATTGAGAATAGTATGGGGACATGCAAGTTACTACCTTATGCTATTATAGTCGGAGACAATATTGGGCAGTCAAGGACTAAAGGCCAAAAGTGTTGCAAGTACACGGTGATGCTATTAGAAGAGAATGTCAACGTAAAGCTTTACTAAAGCTTTGCTAAAAAAAGAGTTATACCTATCGATTCGACCTTCCACCTTGGATGAAAATCAGATTAATGACTTGGACGTTTTAGGCAAAAGGTAATTTTTGATACCTCATATCTTCAGACCGCCGAGGAACGCTTCATACGATCAAGTCAAACGATTATAGTAGCTCACCATATCCATAGTGTAGGTCAATCTTTAAAAACAAGCTAAGGTACCATTGTGCTTACGTGGGTGCCGGCGGATGGACATGGTGCAGCTTCACAGTTGAGTCGAGTAGAAGCCCTAAACTCCTGTGCATGACATCCAATTAACGAACCCAGGTGCTAAGATGCCTGGGAACTCTGGGCGTTATACTGCAGAATACTGCCGGGTGCCGCCTTTCCAAATATTTTATTACAACAGATAGGCTACCACCCCGTGAGATTGCTTAACAACTTCTCGGAGGAAAGATGTAATAAATCATAACAGATAGACACGCATACATTCAATTATATATATATATATATATATATATATATATATATATATATGTATATATATATATATATATATATATATATATATATATATATATATATATATATATATATATATATATATATATATATATATATATATATATATATATATATATATATATATATATATCAGCTGTATGTCATTGCTTCGCTTTGATATAAACTATAAATTTGATATATATATAATATATATATTTATAAATATATATATATATATATATATATATATATATATATATATATATATATATATATATATATATATATATATAAATGATAGAACAAATTTGACCCCCACTAAGAAGTGGTCTACTGATAATTTTTCCATAAGGGCTCGAAAATCCTAGCTACGCCACTGATGAAAAGTTGACACCAGTATGTTTCGAAACTAGAAAAATATGCAGTACGTGCTTGGAGTACTTGCGGCAGTACTTGCAGTAGGCCTACTTTTCATTGTTCGTCCTCACATTACTGGACTGTTAATACGGATTAATAATTTCACTAGACCAGCACAACTCATAATAAAATAAAATAAAATTCCCATTAAAATATTGGAAGACCAAATCGAAATAAGTTGATCGCCCCCCCCCCACCCACCCCGATGGTTGTTAGCTTTATTCTATGCATACTTTGATAGTAACGCGTTTTATTTATAGTTGATATTAATTCAAATGGTTGTAGCATTATTTTCGCTACCATATTACTTCATGGTGTCCAACCCGCCCTCATTGTTAGGATTATGACTTGGTACTTAAATGACTGTCTAACTTTGATATTAATCATTAATTGAACTTTAAAAAAAAATGTCTGCCTTGTTGCGGTCGGAGCCACCGTGCCCCTCTCAAGACGTTTCTGTATTTTTCCATGTCTATGACCATCTACGCGTACACAGGTTTTTTTTTTAAACAGCAAACGTTTTACCTTATTCAGTCACGTGGTTATAATCTAAAAATACGACCATCTAAACATACGCGGTGCAATGTTCAACGCAGAAGTAATCCATTCAAAGCTACACAATATAAAACAGGATGTGACGAAATTAATAATATCATTTTCCTAGAAAATACCAAAAACGTTCAAGTGATTAAAAGTAAGCTCATGTATATTATGTAAACAGATATTCAAACAGCTACATCCTGATTCGCTTCTGTGTTCATTTATCTTTTTCACGTTAAAGGTAAGTAAAATTTAATACAATTGCTGAAATATTTATTTTGAATTGTATTAGTAAATTAAATGTTAGTTTATTTTAATAAGGACAATGCATTTGGTTTTTGTTTTTTATATTTTTAAAACTAAAACAATAACAGTCTTCTCGTTAAAATAATTTATTATATTAAATGTTAAACTTGTATGTAATTTTAAACATCCACTAACAACACATCAACCCAGTTGGATCGCTAGGTTGGGTGTCACCCGGTGCGGCACCTCATGTTACACACACATATACATATACATATATATATATATATATATATATATATATATATATATATATATATATATATATATATATATATATATATATATATATATATATATATATATATATATATATATATATATATATGAATATTAAGGTCTTCATAGTACTATATAGTTGAAATTGATGTCATGCCCCCTTCCATTTTGCCTAATGACGTCGCACATTACATTAATCCACCTTTTAATTCGTGTAAAAAAGCATCGTTTTCAGCGTAAATTTTTAGATTTTAGCGTCAACCGTTCTCAGGCATTTAATTGAATTATCAGTTATTCAACAGACTTTTCAAATTAGATTTTCTTCCTCTGTAAAATTTTTCAATTGGTGTTACCCCCTCCCCCGGCTGATAGTTTTAAAGTGCCCTCAGATTAAATAAAATTTTCTATAGTCAGCTATTAAGACGGGTGGATTAACTCTTATCAATCATTAATTTGACTCGCGAAAAGCATATATGCATTACTGCACCTTTCATCCGATCGCCATGGAACTTTGGGAAGTAGTTGAGAATACTCTGCGAAAACCAAATTTCAAATTCGCAGCTGTAGCGCCCCAGAAGGGCGTGATTCGAATCTTTTCTATATACGGATTACAAAAACAAAAAGTCGAATGCGGTTTGACACTGCTCATCCGATTGCCATGAAACTCTGGAGAGTTGATAAGAACACACCAGGGGAGGTTTCTGCAAACAAATATTTTATTAAATTTCGCAAGGGCTAAGATGGAGGGTTCAATTTTTCTATATATACGGTATATAAAAAATAAAAGTCGGATGCGGTTCGACATCTTTTATGCGAGTGCCATGAAACTTTGGCAAAATGATTACAACACACTCCAGAAGGCTTCTGGCAGAAAAAAAAATTCAATTTAGTATGGTTTGGTAGGGTGCTATTTATCGCCCGGTCTTTCCCGTGAGTGATATGGCGCCCACGTCCATTTTAAACATTGCGAAAGACTATGCATAGAAATGGGTTTTAGGGTCGTTCACTAAACATAATCAGGCGCCCCCTAAATAACTAAATAACTATAAAGAAAAGCGTGGGTCTCTTTCTAAATGTTAGTAAAGGTATTCAATAGATATTTAAGTGACCCACGCTTTTCTTTATAGTTATTTAAATAGTAGTGTACAATTATATATTTAAAGAACAACAATTATTTTCTACTTTTAAGTGCATTATTAAAGAAAAGCTTATTGTTAAAACGGTGTATATGAAACTTGTTTTTAAACTTGCTTCCTCTGTCGACAGTCTGTCTGTCTAGATTCTTTTAATTTTGTGTTTGCGTTTTATTTGCGTGTTTTTTTTAGTTTGCGTTTGCGTTTCTGTTATCAACTTCATTTGAATTTTTGTTTTTATGCGTTTGTGTTTTTACTTTCTCGTACATACGAAGTATAAAGAAAGTCTTGTAATCGTACAAAAAAATCGAGATTTTTACAAATCTCGACGTTTTACACCTCACTGATACGGAAAAACATAATTTTGCAATCTTGTCCGTATGTCTGTGTCAGTGTATGTGTGTGTGTGTCTGTGTGTATGTGTGTGTGTGTGTAAACACGATAACTTGAGTACCGTTACAGTTAGGTTGATGAAATTTCATATATAAGTATTATATCAAAATCGTTGATCCGTTTAAACTTTTGAGCGATTTCCAATAACCGGAAGTGGTACTATTTCTACTTTGAATTTTTCAAAAGCCTATAACTTGAGTACTATTTCATATACATAAATGAAATTTCACATGTAAGTACAAGATCTAATTGTCTACCTACTATAAAATTTTAAGTGATTTCCGATGAACGGAAGTAGTAATTTTTGCCATTTCCGATTTCTCAAATAACGTATGTAAATTTTTACAGTACTAATAATATTCCGCACTATTATGCACATTTTGTTTAGGCGTTCGCTTGGTGTGTGAGGTAGATTGACGAGGAGCCACATTGGTGTTAACAGCCTTTTATTTACAGACAGCCATGATGCCAAGAGAGAGGAAGGAAGTGGCCAGAGACAACTATATATAGATAACAACATGTAAGGGACATCACTCAAGATAACAATATAAATATAATACCAATACAATTATCTCAATCTATTACATCCCTTTACCCTTAGAACACAATAACACATCTCTCAATAGAACAATTGATAGTATCCTAAAATCACCAATTATATTGTAACATGAACACTATGGTAGATTACATCCTTACAAACAATGCACAATATGCCACAACATAATCAAGATACAAAACAATGATGTCAAAGTCCTTTTGACCTTTAAAATCATAGGTCTAACTTATTTGGGACTTTGATTGTCCTGCTTGACCTTCTCAGTGGCTTTTGATTTGGTGACTCAAGATTCTGACCATCTGGATTCTCTATCTCAGGAGGTCTAGGATTTAAATCATTAACTCCAGAATTTACATTTTCTGACTCCAGACAACTTGGTTCACTCATATCAACAGAACTTGGTTGTGGAACAAACTGAGTTGGTGTGAACTGATCAGACTTGGTGGGATTGACAGATTCACACTTATTATCTGCACAAGTTATTTTTAACTGGTCTGCATGTCTACGGACAATAAGTCCATCATTTGTTTTTACTTTATAAGACACAGGTCCTGTACATTGAACAATTTGACCTGGTATCCATTTTTCCTTTTTCCCATAGTTTCTTAGATACACATTCTCATTAATACCAAATTCTCTTTCAATGGGTGTTCTGTCATGATTTACTTTTTTAATTGGCATCTGAAAGTATTATGCTATTATTCAGATCCTTAACTGGCATAGATTTCTTTGATTGATCAATTTCCTCAGGTAATCTGATAGTGCTTTTTCGTAACCAAACATACTGTTTAAAAGTAATATCCTGGACAATATCACTTTGCAACTGTGATCTAGTATTTGAAGTGGGTGTATTCAATGGCAAAAATCTTTGCTCTTTTCTTTTGATGTTACCCTTTTAGTTTCTGTAAGTGCTAATGATGTTAGCAAAGTTGTTTGATGATCACATTCCTTCTTACTAATGTATTCTCTTTAAAACATTTGAAATTGCCATATCACCATAATCATTTATTAAGTTACAAGTACTTTGTTTAGGCAACTCTGACTGGTAATGGACTGCATCTTCTCCATCTTTTATATTATCTTCACAAAGGGTTTTAATTTCTTATTCTATATGGCCTTAAGTCATCATTCACAGACTCTTCAGGCCAACCATTCATACAGTGCTCATATACTTTTATTAAGCACTCATCTTTTTGTGTTTCTCTTTTAATATCATTCACATTTATATTGGAGTTATCCATGATAGTGAAGAGAACAAATACATCTTCTGGTACATAGCTCAGGCTTTGGTTTTTTAAAGGTAATCTACTAAGACTATCTGCACTATTCTCAGATCCAGGTTTGTATTTCAATTCATAATTGTATGCAGTTAGTGTGATAGCCCGTCTTTGAATTCTTGGTGAGGCATGCTCAGGTAGGGTTTTGTTTTCTCCAAATAAACCTAGCAATGGTTTATGATCTGTAAAGATGGTGAACTTCCTACCAAACAGAAACTTATGAAATTTCTTAACACCAAAAATGATGCCTAAGCCTTCCCTATCTAACTGAGAATAATTTTTCTCAGCCTGGTTCAAAGATCTACTGGCAAAAGCAATGGGTCTGTCACCCTTCTCATCCATGTGGGACAAGACTGCTCCTACACCATCTGGTGAAGCATCACATGTTAATATAAGTCTTTTCCCTGGGTCATAGTGAGTTAGTAAGGTGTCAGAAGACAAAGCCTCTTTTGCTGTATTAAAAGCAGCTTCTTGTTGTTTACCCCAGTGCCAAGTTGCATTTTTCTGTAGCAGCTTGTACAGTGGTGATAGTTTACCAGACAGATTTCCTATGAACTTTGCATAGTAATTTATCAAGCCCAAAAAAAGCTCTTAGTTGTTGGGTATTTTCAGGTTTGGGTGCTTCTTTAATAGCTTTTGTTTTCTCAGGTTGAGGTCTGATGCCTTGTTTGCTCAATATATAACCAAGAAAACTAATTTCTGTCAGCATGAATTGACATTTATCTTTGTTTATCTTTAAACCTTTTTCACCAACAATTTTCAAGACTTTATCTAGTGTTTTAAGATGTTCAGTGTCATTCTTACCAGTTATGTACACATTGTCAAAGTACACACAAACATTTGGAATATCCTTAAAAATACTGTCCATGACAGCTTGGAAAATTCCAGGGCTAGATGATATGCCAAAACATAGTCTTTCATATTGGTAGAGTCCTTTATGTGTGTTTATTGTCGTATAGACTTTTGAATCTGGATGCAGTTCTAGTTGAGTGTAAGCATGACTAAAGTCTAATTCAGTGAATTTGTCTCCTCCTGCCAAATTCAAAGAGATTTCCTCAATGTTAGGTATAGGGTACCTATTTAGCTCTATTTGCTTATTCAGTGTAGTTTTATAATCTCCACAACTTCTTATAGAACCATCCTTCTTTAACACTGGCACAATGGGCGACGCCCAATCGGAATAGTCTACCTTCTTTATGATGCCATTAGATTCCAATCTACTCAGCTCATTTTCAATTTTATTCCTCATTGCATAAGGTGGAACTCTAGCTTTGCAGTATCTTGGATTTGTGTCTTTAATGCTTAACTTCACTGTTCTATCATTTAGTAATCCAGAGTTACCAAAAACACTTTTATTTTCAGATATAACTTTATCTAGTGAAGTAAGACTAGATTCTTTTACATTCTTCAATGAACAAATACTCTCCCAATTTAACTTAAGATCACTTAACCAGTTCCTACCTAGTAATGGCGGTCCATTTCCTTCAACCACAAGAAGAGGAAGTTTAACACTTTGACCATTATAACTTACATGAACCATACACTCTCCTATTACCGGAACATTGTCACCAGTGTATGTTGTTAAACACTTGTGACATGGCTGTAGAGGCACTGATCCTCCTGTGACAGCGTCAAAATCTTTCTTTGTTATGACTGTTAGAGATGCTCCAGTGTCAAGTTGGAAGCTGATGCTCTTACCGTTGATATAAACTGGTACATTGATGGGAGCATGACTTATTGATTTCACAGAGAATAGGTTGAAATCCGGCTGCGAATCAGTTTGAGCATTTTCACAGGTAGAGTGGTTCATTGGTTGGGTTAGGTAGTCTTGGTGAGAGTTAACATAGTGCTGCCTTTGGTTGCGGTACTGTCTTGACTGGCTAGATTTAGCAACAGACGAAGACTTTGCAAAGCAGGCCTTGGCAATGTGACCTTGCTTACTGCACTTATAACAAGTTGCAGACTTGAACTTGCACCGATGAGATGCATGGGGACCCTTGCATCGATGACATTTTTGATAATTATTACTAGATTTAAATCTAGGATTTGAACGAGCAGGCTGTTTAGCATAAGTTGAAATGCTCTGATGGGGTTGATGTTTATTGACTAACCTGCTGTTTACTGCATGGATCTCTGAAGGTGCTAAAGATCTCGCCGCATCTGATGACTGCTGGAATGACATTGCAAGTTGTATTGCTTTTTCCAATTTTAGATCTGACTCGAGCAGCAACTTTCTTTGAATATCAGGGCTGTTTACACCTGTCACAAACTTTTCACATAGTCTATCAGACAGCGTGTCGCCGAATTCACAAAATCTACTTAGATGACATAAAGCAGCAACATATTCTGATATTGACTCGTTTGGTTGACGAGTCCTACTGTCAAATCTAGCTCTACATAGAAACCTTGATGGTACAGGCGCATGGTGGTCTGTTAGCAATTTGCTCAGCTCGTTAAAGCTCTTGGTATTTAGACTAGCTGGTGCGCATAAGTCTTTTAGTAGCCTAAATTGTTGAGGCCCTATGACTGTTAACAAAACAGCTCTCTTTTTGGCTTCTATCGTCACGTTGTTAGCTTCAAGGTAAAACCTTAACCTATCTAGGTAATCTTGAATGATTTCATCATCCGAATCAAATTCTTTTATTTGGCCATACAGCGCCATTATTCTAGAAATAATTAGCCAATAAGCTCTAGCAAACCTCTTTTTTGCGTAAGTAGGTGCTCTTTCTAGTAGATGTTTATCCTTCGTCGCCAAAATGTGGTAGATTGACGAAGAGCCACATTGGTGTTAACAGCCTTTTATTTACAGACAGCCATGATGCCAAGAGAGAGGAAGGAAGTGGCCAGAGACAACTATATATAGATAACAACATGTAAGGGACATCACTCAAGATAACAATATAAATATAATACCAATACAATTATCTCAATCTATTACAGTGTGCAATTCTTTTTTCTACGAGATCCTATTCTATTTTTAAAAGTTTAAGTAATTAAATGTCTATATTCCGAGTTATATAAGAACTAGGCATACTGCCTAGCTTCGCTTAGGTTTTCAAAAACATTTGAGAATTTGAATACTTAATTATAAAGTGATGGATGAGGTGTGGAGTGCTTAAATTTTTTTTTAATGTTTCAACAAATTAGTTTTATTACATTTTTGCTTTAATTACCTGACATCAGCTTAATTAGTTCAAATACGTTACGTTCGTTTAATTTAAGTGTATACGGCCATGTTAAAGTTGTCTAATCAAAGCGTTAATCACGTGTCTAATTAAAGCGTTAATCACGTGTAACTTGTAACAATTTACGCAACACACTCAGCCAATAATGGTTGCTGGCATAAGTTGGTCTTTATCATTTTAAAATCAGTTTAGATTTTTGGGACCAGAAGATTTTGAAATCATGTTAGGGATTTGGTTTCTAAAGTGGCTGTTATGCAATTTTTTTTTTTAGAAATTGGGGTAGCTTGTTTATGGATGGAAATTTATTTATTTATTTATTTATACATACATTATATAGGATATATATATATATATATAAATATATAAATATATAAATATATAAATATATAAATATATATATATATATATATATATATATATATATATATATATATATATATATATATATATATATATATATATATATATATATATATATATATATATATATATATATATATATATATATATATATATATATACGCTCACGATAACCCCATCGAGGTGATTTTTTTTTCTTTTCTTTTTTTTTTTTTTTTTTTTGCCTCAGACATGTAATTTACAGCGTCAGTTGTGTGTGTTCGCTTTACTATTACAGTTTTCATCACCGGCTTGTGAGGACTGATATAGATTTACAATAGTAATATTTCTTTCTTACTTGTAGCCTACTTTCATTCATTTAAGATGGTTTACTGATACATAGATCTAATAAAGAAAATGACTGTTATGCAATTTTTATATATATATATATATTTTTTTTAATACTTTTATTTGCAATTAAAGGAAGTGCATCAACATCAAATGTTTTTTAACATAATTTTGAACACCAAATGAAAACGAAAGGTTTTGCAAATGTACATAATGAATATTTACATGATGTCATGTATTTGATTATAAAAAATTGCAAAGGATGACAGTAAAAGTATACGTAGCTTAATTAACAACGTAATGTTTTACTAATTCAAATGCTATACTTTGTCATTTTCTGTTTCTGTTTAAAATAGTATACAATTAATTGAAAAATAATTATTTTAAAAGGGTTACCTCCCTTGAAAATGGACCAAATGACTTATGTCTTTGTTTACTTTTTAGCGCAATTTCCATTCTGGAAAATTGCGTTTATTAACTCGTCTTTTCTGGAAATGGATGGATGGATGGATGTGTGTCCGCAGCTTTAAGTCGTATCTCGTCCTCAACAAAGCAATATCGAGGACTAGTTCCAAAAGCAAATATGTTAACAAAGTTCCGACGATGATAGTGGGCCAAAAAAATTCCCGGAATTCCTTCCTGGATTTCCCGGAAAAGCAAAAAAAAAAACTCGAAAAAATGCAGTTTTTTGCCCATATCTTGGCAACCAGACCACTTAGCGACTTGAAACATTTACCAATCGATTCCTGCCATAATTTAGAACAATATTGCTGAATAAAGTTTTCAAAAATATCCTTTCGTTCGGTCACAAAAAAATTTTTAAACTAACATTATACATGATACACTACAGTACTATATAGCAATATATAGATATCTATTTTTCGCTATCTTTTAGATCTTGCTTTAAGTTTTTTTTTATTACTTATTTACTTATTAATTCAAACGTCTTTTTTGTACCCTATTAATTTATTTATAATTTAAATGAGAGTGATAGGGAGTTACAATTACAAGGTTTTGTTTCGCTAGGCCTAATCATTTTTTTCACATTTTTTAAAAACCATAGAGTTATATGGCTAAAAACCATTGCGCGCCTACTGAACGTGATGGCGCAGCCATGGAACGTGATGACGCATCTATTGAACGTGATGACGCGTGTGGTGTGGTTGGATAACATAAGGAAATTGCGCTTAAATTGTCACTAGACTTTTTAATTAACTTGTTTTTAACAAACAGTTGCTATGCTTATATAAGAAAATACGATATCTGAACATATTTAACTACTACAATGGCTTTTTCCGACGGGAATAAAGTTTTTCTGTTACCCTCTAGTGTCGGTCTACGGCCTCAAATAATATTAAGGGGATCCTTCGTCAATTTATATATATATATATATATATATATATATATATATATATATATATATATATATATATATATATATATATATCTCATACAAGGAGAATTTCACTCGCAGTCATCTTTTAGCCCTGGTCGAGGGCTTTGAGTCTGACCAACAGTTTTTCGATACGGCCTAGTCATCTATACAGGTGTATGCAAAACATTAGCAAGATATACCCATTTTAAGTACCCTAAACTCCGCGTTGAAATGACCCTCTGTTTTTCCCATAAAATACAAAGATTATATAGGGAAATACAACTGGTCAGTTTTGACCCATTTTCCCGATTGTTCCCGGAGATGGCCAGTTTTTTGTGACATCCCAAGGCGTTCTCCTACCACCTCACACAATTTCAAGGGGGGTTGTCGGAGGGAATGTTTTTTCGTAATAGAGCTCATATAAAGAGAATTTCGCTCGCGGTCAATTTTTTGCCCTCGTCGAGGGCCTGGAGTGAAACCGACAGATCTGCCTTACGGCCACGCCATTTACCTAGTTTTTTGTGACACTCCCAGGCGTTCTCCTACCACCTCACAAAATTGTAATGGGGGTCGTCGGAGGAAATTGTTTTCGTAATATAGCCCATATAAGGCGCCGGTCAGTCGAGGTCAGTTTTGACCCCCTCTCCGTAGACTTTTTGCCGAACCGTCACTGGCTCTCGTGTTCTATCGCCACAAGGCATCATCTTGCTAAATTTGACGCGCCTGCGGCGCCGGGAAGTGCCCTTTCGGCCACCTGACCACTTTGCTTTATATATAGGCCTATAGACTAGCCATCGGTACGGTTTCACCTGAATTATAGGCTTACCTATTTGAAAATGTCGAACTTGTTTGAGAAAAATAATTTATAAAATAGTTATTGGTCAAAACGCAATTTTCATTACTACACGCTGAACGATATTACTAACAAAGCAAAGAAATAACTAATTAGCTAAACATCCGACACATTGAACATAACACAGGCACACACTGATTAAGTGACTAAAATGGTTCCGTTAAAAACTCGGATATTCAATGGTATTCTTCTTGTTTTTAAAGTGATTTATTTTTATTTGGTTTTTATGAATAGATCTATAGATTTAAATGAAATAGTTCATTTCTTCATCGGTAACCATACCATATTAAATGCACTGGCTGATTAAGAGACTTAAAATTAAGAGACTTAAAAGATTTCTTTAAAAACCCGGCTGTTCAATGGTAGTTATGTTGTTTTTAGTAGATAGTCTAAATCCAGATCTTAGTGTCTACGTCTAGTTTTTCCGTAGATCTAGTCTAGATCTAGAATAGAGATCTAGGTCTATATCTAGAATCCAAATAGATAACGTAAAAACGTATAAATGTTTAGGCCGAGAAAATCGTATAGTATACATTTCATAGCGTACGTAGAATCTAGCTCTAAATCATATTTGAATGAAATAGCTCATTTCTTTATTTTATTCTAAACTCGGTAGATGACGTCATCAGTTTCGTGCTCTTTTTTAGTGTAAACAATAAGCGACGTCATTGTTAAATGCGTTCTTGTCCCAAGTATAAACCTTTTTCCGGTTGCATAATTAAAATTGTTTTTCTACATTCGAATACGCCTGTATTTTCTATTTTTCTTCTTTAAAAAAAATGTGGTTATACATTTAAAACATCTAACATATTATTTTCAACAAAAGTCCGTTTAAAGGTACATCGTTATGATCACACCTCTCCAATACTATGTGATCATGTATTGTGAGAACTCTTGCTCGACATGTTCTAACTTCACATTTCCAAATCTCTTTGCCTTCTGCTCCAGTGATGGTTCTTATAAACATAAATTAACTAGAAACGAATGTCTTAAAACCTTTCTGCGAGGTAACGAAAGAGGTCATACCTGAGTAATCACCACTAATTCTGCTTTGTTTGCATGCACTCTACGACAAACTTTGCTCCGCAATGGCCGCTGTCGTTTAAATAAGCATTTGTCACCTGATAACTAAGGTATGACCGACGCAAAACTATCGACTTTAAATGCTAGTTGTATTGTCCATGGAGGGTGGATTTCTTTCCATTAAGACATTTCTCTGACATCAAAGCGGGCGGCCAACTTGATATGTAGGTCCGTCTTTATTGTTATTTCATTCCCTTTGATCTAGTTTCGTCCACTTGACGTGGTAGGATTGTCTCATGTTTTGCAAGCCCCCCTACGCTGTCTATGGAAAACATTTCTTTAATCTTCGTATACTATATTACTAATACTAACTTTAAAATGTTTAGTGCAATATGACAAATTTATACGGCAAACGTTTCTTTCAATTATTATATAGGCCTATAAACAATATTAAACATAATATAAAAAACATAATAAACAAAACCATATGACAATCAATAATAACAAATTTCAGATCAACTAAAATCATCAACTACACTATTAAAATTTAGGTGTGAGATATTTTGTCTGTGATCTATTGTCCTTGGTATCATTTGTCCTGATATATTTTGTCCTGGTATCTTTTGTCCGTGAGATTATTTGTCAGTGAGATCATTTGTCCTGAGATCATTTGTCCTGAGATCATTTGTCCTGAGATCATTTGTCCGTGAGAAAATTTGTCTGAGATATTTTGTCTGAGATCATTTGTCC